TATTCTTTCTCTGCCACCATGGATAATGAAGTTTTATCAACTCCCTTTTATTATAGTAATCTAAAACTGTATCCTGTAATGGGGTCATAAACATTTAATAAAAGAGAATGCTGTGTGAATTAAAAAAAGAGAGAAAAACAGGCTTTAGGGTGGACAAATGGAGAACAAAAGGGAACCCAAGTAGCTCAGGTGTCTCTAGTCCAGAGCCTCAGTGAACAGTGCTTGTCCACCCTCATCACTGGGCCAATGTGTAGCCTGGGCATCTCTTACTTCATTCCCATCAGTGGGATTTTCCCCTGGGTTTAAACTTTACCATGCCCAAAGTGAGGTGCTGAAACACTCTCCTGATCTTTACGATGTCTCTATTTTTTTTCCCCTACAATTTCCCCCTACTACCCTTTCTGGCGTGTTCTGTGGTAACTTCTAAAGTATTGTTTCACTGTGTAAGTAGAGCAGGGGGCTGTTAATTCCTGAGCCTCCACGAGCACCACAAACGCTGCCCAGCTGCCACCCCCGGTGCTTTCAAAGAGCAGCTGTGCAGGGCTGTGCCATGGCAGTTGCAATCACTCTGCAATGACAATAGGAAAAACTGATAATAAACATCAAACTCGTCTGCCTTTTACCACAGAGAAAGTTCAAGTGTGGTGGAAAGTTTTGGGGGTTGTTGTGTAAATTACCCCTCGCTTGCTGGCTCTGTAACCTTTAGTGGGGAAAGTTTGCAGGCTGGGGCAGAGGGCAGGCATCCCACGCCTCCCCAGGTTTGACAGAGGAGCTTGGGACCCTGCTTGGGGGTTTTGAGGATGGTGAAGAGCTTGGGAAGGATGGATGCCATACGCAGGGGGTTCAGAGAGCATTGGGAGCTGAGGTAGTGGGAAGATGTGAGGTGTGTTTCACCCTGGGAGGGTTCCAGGAGATGTTCTGCAACTGCACAGGCAGCTCCATCATCTGCTCTTGGTCCTTCAAAAAAGCATAGCTAAAAATATCCATCATGAATTTTGGGTAGCCAGCCTCCCCAAGGTGTATATGGGTAAATGTTAATGTGTATCCCCTTGCTGAGAAGTACCTGATATCACACAAAATAATAACCTAGCCCGTTATCCAAACACGATAAGGTGGCCTTTGCCGTGCCAAAATTGGCTTACAGCACCCTAAAACAAATAGGCATGGGTAGGCAAACAAAAAAATGGCCAGAAATATGACAATTCCCTTGTCCAAGGGCCACTTGTTGGGAGCTGCTCATGCACAGCCATGTGAACTTGAGTTAGTGTGGGGTGGGTAAATAGAGAAAAAAATTATCTGGAACACCCTGTTTGTGTGTAGCCATGATTTCACTTGGTAAATACTGTGGTTAAAAAATCACTGATTGTTGGAAACTAATCAGAGTAAGCAAATAATATTATTCCTTAGTTATCTCCACGTGTTCTTTCACAGAGCTTTGGCTGGGTACTGCTTGTTTCTGTCCTTTTTTCCCTCTGTTGCCATGCCTGCAGCTATGGATTAACAGCAAGAATAAAATTATAACTAGCTAAAATTTTTCAGTGATTTTTTAATATAAAATTTGAATTTAAAAATGAAATTGCCTGTTTATTAATTGCCATTTACCAAACTGGTTTTTTTGGTTTTTTTTCCTTGAGAACACTGAGGATCACAAATCATTAAATATGTTTCCAAAAGTAGCAAACTTTAGTTCAGGTGGACATTTTTCAAGTTTGACTGGCAGAAATATAAATGGAGGAAAAAAACCCCAACATTTCAGAGTTTTGATGGAAAAGATTCTACCAAATTGCACATTTTCCTATGTGTCAAGGTATATTGGAAAGGACATGCCTTCACTACAGTAAACTTGCAGAGCTGGTTGGTTTTCTTCTGTTTCTCCTACTCTGGACTAATGATTGTGACAAATTTATGGTAGTTTGTACTAAATCCTAACTTTTTTCCTTTTTTTTTTTTTTTTTTTTTTTAATCTTAGTGGAGTAAGTTGTGGCCCAAAAGGACTAATGTGATGTAGAGAGTGACGTGATTGAAATTTTATTCTACATCTACAGAGGTTTTGCTTTAGGTTTGTTGCAGGTGGGCTTTTCGTCCCCCCTGCTTTGTTTTAGTGCAAATGGGGAACATGGTTGTGGAAAGAGGAGCTTTAAAAATAACACAGGATCGGGAAGCTGCCTAAGACAAAGTACATAAATTATCAGAGCCAGCTTTCAAAATGCTCCTGGTGCAAGTGTTACACTCAGACACGTTTCCAAAAGTAAACTGGAGTGGTTGTAAGAGAAATGGTGCCCCAGAGAAAAGCAATAAATAGCCCAGCCATGTGCTCACTGTGCCTCAGCTCTGTGCTCCCATTATTTATGGAAAGATAGAAGTCGAGCTGCAGTTCCAGAGAACCCTTTGATCAGCGTATTTATTTTTCTAATAACCTTTAAAGACAATATTAAACCACCCAAAACACAAGAGCCACTGCAAGACTGGAAATCACCAATGGATTTTAAATATGCATTAAGGGCAAAAGAATTGGGATGAGTGCAGTTTCCCTTGAAATCTCTTGCTGATAGCTGTGACACTACAAAGAATTCTTAGTCCACTGGAAACCAGCTCTTTCTGCTCTTTATATTGGTCTTTCTGCTCATAAAGAACTTTCAGCCCTTCCGTTCTGTGATGGCCATGGGAGACTCTTGCAGAAATAGAAGTTCTGTAACAGTTAATATGCATGGGAAAGTTAATTTAAACTGGAAGAGGCACTTATGGAGTTCACTCAACTTCTGGATGGAAAAAAAATGGCTAAATTAAAATTAAGATATTGGTTTAAGTACTCTGTTGAATTGACACCTAAACGTGAAAATTGAAAGGAGAAAGTCTATGTATTTAATGCCACTGAAAGGAACACTGAAAGAACAAGGCAAAAAATGCCAGCCACATCTGCAGTACTTATTTATCAAAGTAAAAGACAAGCCTTTGTCTCACAACAGAGAAAAAGCTGGTAAAATGACAGAAATTCTGCTTATGAGTGTATAAACAAGTTTGCATTAAAAACACTGTTAAAACTGTCCCCTGGGATTTTCCCTCTGAATTCATATCACTTACAGAAAATATCTGGATTGTACTGGATGTCTGGATCAATGTGTAGATTTTGAGCTATCCCAGCAAAAGTATGGGAAGGCAGCAGGGCTGAACACTCAGCCAGCAGGTGAGTGCATATAAACACACAGTAACCCATGGCATATGGGATATGGATATGAGATTAGTCTTTACCCAGCAGCACTGACTGGCAGGGGACTGTTTCCATGCAGGTGTGATCCCAGCAAAATACATGGATAGGTGACTTTGGATGGTCTCCATGTTGTCCCTCTCTGAGGGACTTCTCAGCATCCAAACCTTCAGATGTGTTGATGTCAGTTTGCTGAGGGAATCTTGTGTGCAGTTCCCAAATTGAGTAAATTATCCCTCTTTGTGGACTTTGAATAAGCAAATACTCTTATGTGATGGGGTGGTCCTTTTCCAGAAATTGCTCTGAGAAGTGAAATTTGAAAGCTAAACAGCACAAGGTTTATCTATATAAACAATTCTTTCCATTAGAGCCCCACTATATAGAGACAAATCTAATGTGAATAAGGAAAAGAATTTTCAAACAGAAATCAGCAGAGAAAGTGCATCATTTGTGTGGGCATGAATTGGGTTGGGGGCTTACCTGCATTCTCATAACCCCACAATTACCTTAAAGTTTAGCCTGAAAATCCCAGGACTCTATTGAACATTTTTTTTTTCCCCTTCCCTGTATAACATAAAGAGCAATTTACAGACAAATCGTTCTGATGTTATGCATTTTTGCATGCCTGAAATCATGGCTAAGCTTTAAGCAGGGAAAATCAATAAATGATGTGTTGCCATCAGCCATTTCTATGGCAGCTTGGTATTATTTTAATGTGTTAGTGCTGCAGGAAGAAGGCAGGGGAGGTGTATCTGCTGCTGCAGTTTGGTGTTAAATGTTCCCCCCTCTCTGGGTGGAGCACAGGGAGCCCAGCTCCTCCCAATGAGCCTGCAGGGTGTCCCCTCTGTCCCACCAGTGGCCCCCACCCCTGGGCAATGATGGTGATGTAGGGGGATGAATGGGCTCCTTGTTCTTCAAGGAACCACCTCAAGCTCTGGCCATGAGGCTGCACATTGTACTTTGGGAGAAATGGTAATTCAGGCAAGACCAGAAACTGAAGTGAGATGCAATAAAGAGTATTTTTACTGCAAGGGACAGGTTGGCACTGCCTGTAATAACTGCTGGAGCTGGCAACCCTTCCTGCTGTGCCTGTGCTTGGATGGGACTGTCCCTCCCACTCCTTCCTCACTGCTCCCAAATCCTGGGGCAGGCAGTGCACCTCTGCATGCTCACAAAGAGCCCTGGGCCGAGGAGTTTTGTCTTCCTTGTCCTTCAGGGGCCTCTGTGAAAAGTTAATGCTTCAGGACTCGGGAAGTCAGGCTGGGATTTTCGTCCCTTGTAACAGTGGTGCTGGATAAGTGGCAATTGAGTGTACCTGAAGTCTTTGGGCAGCTCCCCCTGATGGTACTGTCCGGGGCTGTTTGTGCTCTCCCGAAGGACTCCCAGCCTCCATGCAGCCTGTCCCGAAGTCAGGAATTTGTTGAAGCCAAAGTGGATATATATAGCACCAGGGAAATAGAGAGTAACACTGTGCCCCCTCCTTAGAGAGGTGACTGTCACATGTTGCCTTCAGCTTATTAATTAACCCACTATGAAACATCATCAAATAATGTGTCATCAATAATGTGATATCAAATAAACTTGTGACTTCATCAAGTTCCTCTATGACAATGGATGGGGTTGTTTTGCTTGCCTGAAGAAGTTAAAAGCTAAAATGATAACTGTAAAATCAAGTCAGAGTATTAATTTCTGTGAGGGATTTAAAAAATATTAAAATATTAGAGTAGCTTGGGATGATCTGAAAGTATTCAGAAAGAGAGAACACAGTTGACCCCAGTTTCCTTTTTCCCTTGAGGTTGATCCAACTCCAGCCCTGGCAAGAAGATTGTGCATGGATGAAGCTGCTCAGTGTTAAAAAAACCTCTTCCCTGTCTAATGCCGTAAGTTACCCTATACTGTCTGCAAGCTGTGATAAGAAACAGGACAGTGCAGTCGAGATACCATGCTTTAAATTTCGGATAATAGCGGGATGTTTAAAATAGCTAAAGTGCAAACTGATCACGTGGACATAAAAGCTGCACTGGTTACATAAAATATAAAAATGTACCCTTCAGCTCAGTGGCATGTTCCATGTAGGTTATGATGTATTATATGAAATCAGTAACATATAAGAGAGTGGAGAAGAGTTTCAAAGCCCAGACAGGAGCAAGGAGTAATAGCAGAGAGTAGAACATGATGATATATGACATGAGGAGGAAATAAGAATTAGATTGAATCTCAGGGAAAATTGAAGTTCTCCATGAGAAGATAAATATAATCTAAAACAAAGATATTTGGTAGGAAGGAGCTACTTAAAAGGCAATCCCACTGGAAGTGCCTAAGTGGAAAAATCAGATATGAACATGGGATGTGACTGAAAAATAGATATCTAAATGCCAGTGCAATTCTGGCCTGTGCTGTGACAGGAAGGCAGGAGGAGACACTTCCTCACACAGCACACAGGCGACAGCACTTGGTAGGAAACATTATCTTTGGGAGCCTTGATAATAACACTCCAGTGGCTGGAGAAGAGAGGATTCTGCAGAGACGTTTGGGATGCCTTAGAGACAGACTTGTTCCAGAGCACAGCTGAGCAAGTCTGGCTGAGTGGCTACCAGCGCATGGATGGGTGCTTGCAAGGATGCAGGGAAGTGGTGGGTGGTGGGCACAGCAAGTCTGGGACTGATCAAATGAAACATCTGCTCCTATTTCAGGGGGAAAATGGTCTGTTAAGTTGGTCCAGCTTAGAACAGAAAGGGATGGGAGCCCGGACATCTGTCAGGTAAAAAGAGTTTTTGCCACTGAACGACTGAGTTGCTCAGAAGCCAAAGGGAGCCCGAGTGTAACACCATGTGTGTCCCCACTTTGTGGCAGTGGGGTTTTGGGGCTACCACTGACAAAGCCGAGGTCATGCACTGTGAGGAAGAAGGGCTGAGATGAACTGGAAGGTTGTTCCACTTGTCAATTGTCCTGCTCTGCCCTGAAGCCAGGGCTGCTCGATAGCTCAAAATGTTTCAAGTACTGGGGGTGGCCAGTGGGTGTCAGTTGTGCTCTATGAAGCAGCTGATGGAGCTTCCCTTATCTAAAGTGAGAAACCACCTTTTAAAGGAGGCACTGGAAAAAACCATTCCCATGGAGAAATCTGAGGTCAGCCCCACAGCTTGGTATTCTGTTTTTTCATAGCTTTGTCTACTTTAAGAGCAGTCACAGACAGTAATTCTTAGACAAGTCAGTTTTCCTCTTTCGGTATCTCTGATTTTAGGGCAATGACAACTAAATGAGGGTTTTCGACAGAGCTCTTTTGTCATAGAAAAGAGGGAGCCACCACCTACAGCCAGACAAATGCTTTCTTTTAAAGGGTCATATGTGTAAATGTGCAAAAGTCTCACATGAGCCTTCTTGGATAACCTCATTGAAGGTTGTGATTATATTGCCAGCCAATTAAGCTAACTCAGCATAGTGCAGAAATCACTTAAAGATCAAGTCAACATTAAGGACCTATAGTTAGTTTGGATAAAATTTCCATAGAAAACATAATCTCATTTTAAGGATCTTTTCCAGCAGCTATTTTTAATGAAACTTCATAGCTGAATGTAAAATTATACCTTTGTTGAATTAAACCAGCCCAAAAAACCAGCAGCAAGCCACTAGGAAAAGCATTTGCCTTTATAATACAAGGATTAAACTGAGACCTTGGGCTTCCATAGGACTTCTTAATCCACTCTGTGAGTGTTTAGCATGAGGAAGTCTTGTTCTGAAAATAACACTCCTTACTATGGATGCAATAAACCAGAAAAAGCAATGAGGAGAGTAATTTTGAAAACAAAGATAGTGATAATATCTGAAAAAGTTTTTCTATTTCTGTCCTCATTCATAATGCTGTAAAATTTGAATATTTTATTTTTTACTTCCATAGATTTTAGATTGAGTCTTTTCAGCTGAGGTCAGTAGAAGGAATATGTTCATGTTGGTGGTATAAACTCAGGTTTCTGCATTGAAGGAAAAAAAACTGAAAAAATAATATCTTCTTTAGCCATCATTCCACCACCTAGAATTTTATTTGGAAGAACCCCTTAAAGTTACTAATAAATAGAAAGAAACACACATCTCAGAAAAATGACCACATATGAAGCCGGGAACAGAAGATTGTCTCTTTAATATAGAAACCAAATGATATGTTCATTGATTTACATCCCCAAAGGAGAATTAAAAAAAAAAAAAGCTCCTCCCTCTTAAAAACAAAACAAAACAAAAAATAAACAGGAAAAAGGAGGCATATTCAAGCCACAAGAATGAAGTTATGTTTTCTTTGCTTGCACAGTTATGTGTGGGTAATGTCTGGATGTAGAGAAATGTTATTCCTTTCCTCAAGTAAAATAGGAATGATAAATAAAAAAACTTTGGAAAATGATGAGGTCTTATACCACTAAAAGAATCAGTCTCCTAAAAAGGGCTGTGGAGCACTCTGTCAGCTCTGCTACTGGAGAGAGACAGAGCAAAGCTTTACAATAAAAGTTAACATGCAGCTTTAAAAGGCTGTGGTCACATGTTGTTTCATGCAGTGCTAAGAGTAGCATAAAAAGATGCTAATGTTTTATTTTTATGATCTAAATTGTTATTTGCGGTTAATCAAAGTTAACCTAGCTCTGCTTAAAGCTGATAATGTGGCCAGTTAATTTCAGGTGTCTCTTTTCACAATCTAGGATGACACTTTGCTTACAGGCACAAAGGAGGCATAAAACCCCATTTTCAAAATGTCCCTTTGCCCACTGGCATGGCTCCATCCCAGCTATGTCCAGGTCCCTGCCCCTGGGGTGTTGCTGATTCTCAACACAGTTGACAGAGGAGAAGCAGTACCATCAGCTTTATTTTCTCAGTGAAGAGCAGGAGTACGGACAGGGAGATTCACCCACTGGAAGGAACTCATTTAGCCAGCTGCTATATGCAACCCCCCTCTGGTAGTCACCGGAGTAAGAAATGCTCCTCTGGAGAGTGACTACAATCAGGAATCTAATTTTGGTGTTTGCAGCTGCAAAATGGACACATCAGTCTTTTCCATGGACTCTAGAAGAAGATGAGGAATAGGAGGTTAAGCAAGGTGCTTATGGCAGAACAGCCCTTGTAAATGGAGGGGGAAATTAATAAACTCCCCCAAAGCAAATCATTGTAAGCTAGTCACCCACAGTCCAGACTTGCACCTAGGCCCCAGGCTGTCCTTCATCTCCGAGATGACAGTGTCAGCCTTTGGCTCGGCTGTGCCTCTTCTGGAGGTAGAGGGCTGGGTGTTTTTGTTTTCTCAGACTATTTTATGTTCTGACTTCATTACCCATGAGACTCATGACACACCGTTTCTGCAAGGACCTAAGGACTGGTTTGTATGACAGCTTTTCACGCCAGTGAGTGCACTGCTCCCTCCAAGGCCATGCCTGGTGCTGAACAGCTCGGAGGGGACTGACTAATCCCCGAGCTGGGGCTGCTGCACCCACCCCCTGAATCAGGTCAGGCTGCAGAGCCACACACCTGCAGGAGTTGTTGCCAGGCTGAAAGATGCTCTACCTCTTCAGTCCCTGCCATCCACAGAAACCAGTTTTAGCAACCTAGCCTTTTCCTGGCTCTCTACAAGCACTGGCTTGATCCTGGAAAAGTAGAGAAGGAAAAGGAACACAAATTATTGAGGGTAAAGTATGTTCCTGTAGATTCATGCTGACTTTTCTGTAGCTACGCACACTGAACAGGGGTGGTGTTGTTTTTGGAAATGTGGTGAGTGAGGACTGAAATGATTAAATGGGACATCCTTCAGGTGCTTTGAAGAAAGGCCCTGCAACCACCCAAGTAGAATCAGGGAAAACAGCCTGTTTAACTTGCTGGGAGATCTGCAAGCTGCTGCAAAGTGAGGTGTGATGTGAGCTCAACACACCAGTTACAGCTCTCATTCACAGCACTGCTCTTCCAGCAAGGATGGGGGTGACACCTAACTAATGGCACTTGGGAACATGGGTTGGTGGTGGGCCTGGCAGTGCTGGAGCAACAGCTGGATTCAATCTTAGAGGTCTCTTGCAACCTAAATGATTCAATGACTTTGTACCAGCTCCTGCAAGGTGAGAGTGTGCAGTCAGTGAGACAACCTCACTCCATGAGGTCATGACCTCACTTAGGTTAACTATCATTTTCCTTGTTCCATATTTTTCAGAGTTCAAGCTGGGTCGGCACTAACAGACCTAAGAGACCTGGATCAGCCTCAGCTATGGCCTTCACCCATGCTCCTAGCACAGGTCAAGAGCTCATTTAAGCTCAGTCCCAGACTTTGGCTTTGTTTGAAGAGGGCTGGTCTCCTGCAAGCAATGGACCCTGCTGTTCCTGACCTGCAGACTGACTCCTTGGATTGACCCCTGAGCTGCCTCATCACCACAGCTTTCCCTGAAAATCAGGGTTCTTGGTTAGACTGGCCATCATCTCTGGCCTGGGTGCTGTGGGATGGACCCTGGGCTGCTCAGGCTCCTGCCAGGCTGGCCTGGGTCATCCCTGTGGCTCCTGGGCCCTGGGAAGCCACTGGTCAGAGCTGTGCACTTCCATCAGGCTGGATTAAATGAGAAAATGTCCTTATTCTGCAATTCTTTGCCAAGCTTTAAAGATCTGTAGTAGAAACTCTTTCCAAGTAAAGAAATGCATGCATTGGGTAAATGTATCTATTCTGTATTTCACCCAGCGTGAATAGAGCAGGTCAGTGTTGGAAACCCTACAAGACCTGCTCCCACAGTGTTCATAGCCAAATTTTGGTAGAAGTCTTCCGTGTTGTAGAAGATCTTTCAAACCCAAATGGCAACTCTGACCTTTTGACATTCGACATTCATGGTAATCCTGTCATAGAGAAGTGGAAGAACTCCATTCTCACTAAACTTTCAGCTGTTGCAAAGCTGTGAGCCTGGCTGGTTGTCGCTGAATGTTCCCTGGTACTTTGCAATACTCAACATAATTGATACCTGTCATTTTGCCAAATTTTGAGTAACAACTGTCTCTCTGCCTAAATGCCTTCAGCAGCTCCAGTAATTTAAATAGATCCAACACACTTCTGTATGGGCTGCTTCACAAGCTTCATAATTCTGTGGTTCTCTGTGCAGTATGGGATATATATAATTCTGTTGGTACTGTGTTTTCCAGCCATAAGCAGGGCAAGAGTTAATTCTTATTTTTGTTGAAGTACTAAGTGGGAAGCTAGGTCATGCATAAATCCTCATTGTGCTAGGTGCTGTACAAGCAACGAATAAAAATGATCCCAGGCTCAAGGATTCTCTGTTGGTAGCTTGTGTCATAATTAAATTTTGTTAGGACACTTTAGAATTTCCCTTCCTCATAAATGAAATATCCATATACATTTATAGCTCTATAATAAAAGACAAAATCTGTACACTTTTATTGTGGATGATAAAAAAGACAATATAATACTGTTTTCCAAGTAACTTGGATATAGCAATTGGAATATGTCAGGGTGAGGGAAAAGATCTCTTTCTTGTATACTTCTGGGTTATATACACCTAAAGTTGTCCACTTTATAGAGAAAGGAAGAAGTATTTCTTGTAAAAATACTCTCACACAGAGCACACTGATTTCAGGTGGAGAGCACAGAGCAGGAGTTGGTGCCCTTTTAAGAATCACATATTGTGTCTTAATGAATAAAGCCCTGACAGTAAAGATAGAAGAAAATACAGGAACCATGTGATATATTAGCAGAATGTTTTACAAAGTCTCACACAAAACATCCGCTGCTCTTGAAAAGCCTAACCAGCCCAAGTGAGAAACTATTCACAAATTTAGTATTCAGATGACATACTCTGCCTTTTCAACTGCTCTCTGTACAATGAATGCCTGTACAAGTACACTAACAGACACAGATCTACAGTTTCTGTGGCCTTTGAGCTAATATGAGTATTATGCCTCTCCATAAATTACATCTGCATGTCCTGAAAATACCAACTGTTTTAATAGGAATTAATCTATAGGCTTTTATCTTGGTGAAATACAAGGGGTACAGTATGTTGCATCCCTTTCAAAATTAATAGAGTATGCTCTGAACGTATTCAAGGATGTTCATTATTTTCTTTATAGGTCCATTTATTGATACATATAAGCATAAAACAGTGCTTCATTGCAGGGAAGAGGAGGAGATGGAGTAATGAATAGATTAGTGCTTATATGGTTTTTAGATTGCCCAATGCACAGTTAAGTAAAGAAAGGTCTGTGTTTGTCCTCTTCACAGTATATTGGGACTGGATCCAGTTTGTCTTCAAAGTGCCCCTTCTGTGGGAAGGGAAGAGAGGGCTCAGTGCAGTAGAAGAGAGCCGATGCAGGGGTCTGCTGCTCCGCCGTGCTCAGCGCTGTCCAAGGCAACAGTGCGGCACATCGGGCTCTTCTAATTCGCAAAGTATACATAGGGCTGGAGCTTATGCCGTGCTGAGCTTCTGTTTATGTGAACACCCAATAGAAGGTTTTGGGAGTGAATTCCTAGAGCACCTTGACCTTACACAGGCTTGTAAAAAAGGGGAAATTAGAAACTTTAAACCAGAATTTATATAAAAAGCATGATGAAGGTTTAAAATAATAATTCTCACATGTGCATATACACACACATATATATGGGTTAAATGTTTAAATATTTAGCTGAAAATAGGCTGAGCCCATCAAACCTATCAAAGCACATTGCTGTCAAATGATGAAAAATTAAACTCTCCTGTGAGACCAAGGATCTCTGTTATCTCCAGCACACAGGAGGGGAACCAAGGCTCAGGAAGACTGAGCAAGTGCCAAGGAGGACATCACAGCTCTTGAGTAGGTGGTTGTTGGCACAGCCTGTGATCCTGGGGACAGCTGGACTTGTGTGGCAGGACATGTCCCAGGGCAGGCAGGGGTTCTGTGGATGGCAATGGAAAGGGACTCCCAGGAGCTCCAGGAATGGCTCTTCCAGAGGTGTGCCAGAGGGACCTCTGTAATGTGGCAAAGCTGAGAACTGCTCTTGGGACATTGCTTGGCAAAAGAAAAGCTCTCCTTGCGTTAATTGCTGTGTTTCAGAAATGCAGAACTGAAATGCAGAGCAATAATGGCTTGGCCAAAATCATGTAGAGGCCCTCTGGTCATTGTTGGATGTGAATCAGCTCTCTTGATCCCCAAGCCATCACCTGGCCCTCAAGATCACCACAGCAGCTCTGCTGAGCTGGGCAATGTAAATCACTGTGGAGCTCTTGTTACAGCCCAGAGCCAAGTTCTGCCTTGAAACTTGTGATTCAGCCCACTGTTGCTGTAGTGAGGATGTGCTCATCTCTGCAGCCCTCGGAGCTAGCAAGCTGATTCACAAAGCCAAGTCCTGCCGCTTTATTCCCTGCCCCATACTCTTCCTTTGGTCACACCTCCTTGTTTTCACAGCTTCATTTGGTTTCAAAAGCTTGCAGAGAAGCTTGATTTAAAAAATCAGAAAATATTTACTGTAGAGGATGGGTCTGGCTTTTCCCATCAGCTTCCATGGCTCAGGCAGGTTCCAGCAGCTTTGGGAGAAAAGCTGTTAGCTATTAAGTTATTACCTGTATGGAGAGCCAGCTGGAAGCTTTCAGTTTTCAACATTTTGATGAAAAGCACCATAAAAATCTTGACAACAAGACTTATAGCATTTCAATGACATGTTTTGCATTTGTCCCCGCTTTTAATGATCTGTAAAAGTGATCGAAGGCTTCAAAATGCTGCCGAGACCCACATCTCAGGAATTTTTACCCCCCAAAATGAAGAGAGGAAGGGGGTGGGGGAAAAGATAAAACACCAAGTGTGTGCTGTTGGGTGAATTCATTTGGACAGCTTTTGGGAATACACTTTCCATCTGGAGGAGAGTGTCCGCAAGGAGAGTTATTCCGGCATAAACTGTTACGGTATAATTACCCAGCTCCAGCTATGCCAGTCTGTTTTCTGGTGTAGGAAAGCCAAGTCTAGTTGTTGATACGTAGGCGTGGGAAACATGAAGTCTGCTTTCTAGGCTCAGCTCTGAGTGCTCTCTGTGGCCAGTCCCCTGACCTTTCAGCCTTCTTCCCATGCAAAATGAGAAGAGTTTAGTTAAACCCACTTCACAGATGTGGCATAATGACTAATTGGCTCAAATTTGTGGTGTTAGGGAGAGAGCTGTCAATTAACTGTAGTGTCTTGGGCTGGCTGAATCATTTAATGTCTTTTCCAAAGTGGGGTTTGTTTCCCTCTCTTAGGGTTGGGTGGCTCTGCTGCTGTTCTACAAAGCAGAATCTCATTTGATGTAAAGTGGTAGTGCTAATAAAACCTGGGGTTTACCTTGTCTCTAACAACAAGTATTGTGCTTGTGTGTAGTGAGAGCAAGAATTAAGGCTTTTGCTTCAAGATTTTGTAGCAAAGATTTTGCCTCAAAGCAAAATTTTCCAGTACCTAGAGCCTTTGACATACAAAGAATGTGGGTATGCAGTGATGGTGGTAGTTCCATTGGCGTTTGTCTGAAACTCAGTGGCAAAATGCAGGTGTTACTCTCCTTTGCTACCAAGGAAAATCAAGGATAACGCTTCCATTATTCCCATAAATTGCTCTGTTGGGTCAAAAGGCTCAAGGGTGTATGGGCATCCTGAATCTCAACCCTTTCTAGTGCTTACTTGCCTAATTTTGCAAACTGAAATTTGATAATGTCCATGTATATCATGCATGATAGACACAACCTCAGCTTCTCAGTGGGCAGTGAACTCTGGTGCCTAACGATGGCATTACCAGGGTCAGCAGCGCCCAGCAGTTCAAAGAGAGCAGGACAGCGCTGTTGCACTGGTCCAGGAGCTGCGGAAAGCAGGGAAAGCACATCGAACATCACCCGCACACGAGATGCTGGGCTGGGCCAGCCCGAGTGGGTCTGTGGGGTGTCTCCTCAGTGTGCCGATGTCCCCTCGCCGCGGGAAGTACTCGGGGCCATTCCTTCAGCCTTAGCTGTAGGGCAGCGAGCGGATTTCCCTCAGGGTATTAAGGCTGATTTTTAGACTTTTCCCAGCACACCGTCTTCTCGGGACCGGGGTGAAATGCCATATAGAGCCTTTACTCGCACCCGGGCCGTCTCCACACGGAAACTCATATCGTGAATGTTTAATTAGTAACAAGCCGGGCCGCCCCCCCGCCCGGGGCGGTTATAAATACAAGTGCTGAATCATGACTCCGCCGGTGCCTCCGGCCGGCCAGCGGGAGTCCCGGGGCGGCGGCTGCCGGCGGGGTGCGGGGGGTGCCCGCCCTGAGGGGCGGCGGTGGTGCCCTGAGGGGGCGCGCGCCCTCCCGCCCACGTGAGGCGCGGGGCGCGCACTGTGGCGGCGGCGGCGGCCGCACTTGTCCTGTAATCGATTGCCGAGCGCGCTGAGCGGCCTCGCGCCGGCTGCGGGCACCCGCCCCCCGCCGCGCCGGGCCCGCGGGGGCTGAGGCGCCGCGGGGCGGGAAAGGGGCTGAAGGGGGGAGCGTGAGTGTGTGAGGGACTGAGTGTGAGTGAGTGCGTGTGTGTGTGAGGGACTGAGTGCGAGTGAGGCAGCGAGTGTGTCCGTGTGAGGGAAGAACTGAGTGTGAGGGAGTCCGTGTGCAGGGCTGTGTGGGAGTGAGGATGTGTGCGGGGCTGGCTGTGCGTGAGGGAGAGAGCGTGAGTCCGTGCGGGGGCGTGGGGGGAACTGAGTGTGAGGGAGTGAATGAATGTGTGTGGGTTTGAGCCTGAGGGAGGGACAGTGTGTGTGTCTGAGGGAGTGTGTGTGGAGGAGGAGGTGTGTATGGGTGTGAGGGAGTTCGCGTATCTGTGAGGGTTTGTGTGTGTGTGTGAGAGAGAGGCAGGGTGTGCGCGTATCTGTCTGTGAGGCAGGGAAGGAAGCGTGTGAAGGAGGGAGCGAATGAGTGTGTGTCTGTGTGTGAGTGTGTGTCTGTGGGAGGGAGGGAGGGAGAGCGGCCGCCGCCGCCGCCGCCGGATCGGTTTCTCGGGGTTTGACCAGCTGTCCCAGGCTAACCCTCTGCTCTCTGAAGATGGAGGAAGTAAAAACAGGATTACCCTTAGCTACGGCTCCTCCGCCGCCTTAGTCCCCCCACAGCCAACTGCCGTGCACAAACACACCTCCACTGGGCAGAGGGAGCCGACACTAATAAACACACAAACAAAAGGGGGATGGAACTGACTCACTGCCTGCGCGGCTGAGGTAAATCTGCGCCTGGCTTCTTATTATTTCTTTCTTTTTCTTTTCCCCCTCCCTTCCTCTCCCTCCCCGGTGCCCCCTTCCCCGGCGGG